TTCTTCTAATTCACAATTCATTTCTATTTCCCTTTTCTGTTTTCTTCAAGTGGACTTTCACAGCCTTCAGCGGTGAGGCTATAATGTATGGACGACCTTTGGGCAACGCTGAAATGATTTTGAGAGTGTTTACCTACTTCCTAGGTCTAAATGAGTGTTACAAAGAGGTGCGCAGAATTAGGATTTTGATTTACATTTGATGGTTAGTGTTAGGAATTAGACTTAGGGTTTTCATCACGAACTAACATCAGCCATAATACAAAGACTCTATTTAGCCAAATGAGTGAATGAATTCCGCGCCAAAATCTAAGACCTATTATCGTAAATCTGATTGGTTCATCCATAGTCTCGCCCCTTCTGCTGACATACATTTCTCTTCTAATTTGTGTTACAAACTACTTATGTCAGTCGATATAAGTAACATAGATTATTAATACTTAATATTAATAGATCATTGAATGAAACGGTTATTTTCATTATTTCTCTTTGATACATTTTGTTACAGCTATTTTTTATTATTTTTTTGTATGTTGAGTAAATATTGATTTTCAACGTGATAATATCAATGAGTGAAATAGAGAAATAGAATAAAAGTATTACGTAATCAGGGAATAGTTTCTATTTGATGTCAAGTAGATGACATTTGAAAGCAAAAACAAAAAAACGGTGATTATTCCCATGATTCTTAATGGTTTTATTCAGTATTGTTTTTTATGTTACAATATAGAATACTTAGTCCAAAGTATTTCAACAAGTTTTCTTTTGTTATTGCTACATCAATCACAACATTTTATAATGATAATGAACAATCATCTTGTAGATCATTTAAACAGGGTTCTCAACCTGTGATTACATCACAATTTTTGACACATATTACGATTTAATAGAAGTTGAAGATAATTCATCCTGTCAATGAATGATGTTCAGTTAGATGTTAGCAGTTCATGAATTGACAACTGAATAATGTTCACTCTTTTTTTCTTTTTAATGCGTTTGAATGAGTTATGCAAATAATCAACATAATGTTATGTTCTAATAAATGGAAACAGATAACTTGTTGAAATCTCTACATAACAAGAACCGGTAACTCAGATATATTCAAGAAGGTCGTCAGATGAAGAATTCAAAGATTAGTAAATCGTTAAACAAATTCGACATTTAAAAAAAACAAAACAATCATGACTTATAAATGTTTTGAATTCTTCAAAATGATTCATATGGAAATGAAAATAGTTGTCCAAATTAGTAAATATGTATAAATTGTATAATCCGATTTATAAAAAAAATAGGCAAAAATGAAGAATAGACTACTTACTAATTAACGATTTGACTAAATCAACTGGTTTATCAAAATATTTTCAATTTCAATGTTATCACATTAATAAACTCTGTTGGATGAATACGGAAAAGTTTTTTATTTTGGTTACTGCTTCTTTTTAGCGAACCAGTTTCCTACGGGATGAGGTCGTTAGTCCCATGCCGACCTCTCCTCCTTTATCTGGGCTTGAGACCGGCGGTAGTTACAGAGGGTCAACAGAGGAGTACATAATACTAATTAGTTGAGTTATCCTGATTTGTTTTCGTTTTAAATTTCCTAAGGAACTAGAATTTGAACTCTTAATTAAATATTACAGTTTGTTCCTATTGTCACTTTTCACTAAAATCTTGTTGAATAGTTTATTGAGTAGTATATATATATATATATAACCTTGATCAAAGAAATAATGTTACTTGGTTGATATATATTCTGTCCAACAAACAGATTCATTGAAGTAAAGTCTTATTTTGTGAAGTTTTGTGTACACTTATGCTATTCCTTTCAAAATAATTTGTATTTGTTGCAATCTCCATACTCTATATCCATTTATATTGGTCATAATATTTACTGAAGTTAGATATTTCAGTCGATTTGTCATTTCACTCATTATATGCTCCTTAGATTTTATACTGAAATCATACGCACAAATTCAGTCTATCAATAATCATCCAGAAAGTGAGTAAAAATTGTACTTTACTTTATATGTTCATCAGCACAACAGATTAACAAATGTCATAACGTCAATTTCAGATTACATAATAATCATATATTTTCACATTATCGATTGAGATCATGAATCGATGGATGTTGAACCACCATTGAAAACCTGGAAGCAGTAGACAGTTATTTCGTCCTATTGTGAGACTCCTCAGCAGTGCTCATCCGCGGTCTCGCTCGCAGGACTCGAACCCATGGACTCCAGTCTCGCGCGCAAACGCCCAACCAACTAGACCACTGAGCCGGCATCCAATGATGTGAATGCCTGATCTCAACCAATCCACGATATTACGTGACCATCTTCAATTTACTGAGGTAGATACCTGTCTCTACTAGACACAGATTAGCTCCACTGGTTTAACATCAATCGATTCATGATCTCAATCAATAACCAAATAATCTCCAGAACCCTATACTGATATTTTTACATTAATCAAAATGGAAACATTCTTGTTCCTTTGTAGTGGAATCTATTGATCAAAATCATGTAGTCTATAAAAAGGATCATATGAATTTTAAGTTCTTGAAGAAGCCATGAATAAAATAATCTGTGGTTAACCCATATAATTTGATACTTCAATCTAATGTGACAGATTCATATACACATAGTACAATGTTACAATTATTGTTCTATAAAGTTATTTTTATGCTAATTATTAGTATTGACTATAAAGGTTAAGATAATTTACGGTTACATCTTAAAACAAAATACAACTAAGTGGCTTAGATCATAGATATCATGATTTCAGATAAACCATATTTTGTAAAAGTCAATATTTATAAACTGTATTCATTTCTTTCTATACTATATCCTAACATAAAATGTTTCTTTTATAGCGACTCACGTACAAATGGGTTTATTCTCATTTAACTCAGTTAAGCCCTTTTGCTAATTTATTTAGCGGACAAAGTCATCCACACTATAACAATTTATAGTACCCTTATTATTTTGTGCTTGTATGAAGTACGTATGCTTGAATATTGATTACTGCCTGCGCATTTATTCACTCTGCTAGTCTTACTACTAACCGCTTATTTGATTCGATTACTCATTCATTTCACATGGTATATATATGCCCATGTTATTCATACTCACTCACTCACTCACTCACTCACTCACTCACTCTCACGCTCTTGCTCTTGCTCGTTCCGTTTGGGACTCGTCAGCTAAGTAGATAACGCGATGGCGTTTGAAGCGAACAGTACTGAGTTCGAGTCCCAGAGTGAACATCAACTCTGAGATGCAGGTACATCCAGCCGACGAGTCCCTTACAGGACGAAACGCGCTTCCTGGATTCCACTGCTAGCCACTATCCATCTCTGCTTATTATGATTGTAAATTAAGGCAATATCGAGGCATACGCACAGTATGCATATATGCCAATAAGAGATTGATCAACTTCAGTCCTAAAACATCAATGGGAAGATTCATATAAAACAATATCAAGTGAATTCCTTAGAATTATTTGAATAATTCGACTAATTTACAATTGTTATTATTATTATTATACTTATGTTAAGTCATGGATTCACTTTGAAATCTATTTCTCTTCTTGGCATTCTCTTTTGAATTCGTTCAGTTTTTTTATTTTCTCAATGAATAAAATACATGAAAAGTTTAAGGATTGACGACTGACTACTAAATAAATGCATCACTATAACCAGAAATGTTGCTTATGTTCCTATTTGTGTGTGTGTGCGTGTGCGTGCGAACATGCTAACAGAAATAAATGTAGCTGATTATATATTCACGAGTAAATCACTAGACAACTCTTATTTTCTCTATACACATTCACAAACACACATCAATTGGATTGGGGAAAAGAAAGTTTATGTAAATAAGTTAAATGTTACCAGGTAGAAAACAACTGAAACTACCACAACGACGACGATCACAATAATAAGAACAAAAAACACAAAAAGAAATATGCAAAACAGTTAAGTGAGACAAATGAAAGAAAACAAGAAAAGAAAATCAGAGTCAGTTATAAATGGAGCATAACAAATTATCTCATAGAAGGGCACTATATACATAATGCTTGAAAACAAGATGCTAGATGGAAACAACTTACAGAATGTATGGCATAATAATGAATAAATAGATGTAGAAATATCTCCCTACATTAGTATTAGTAATATTATGAGTAGAAGTGTTAGTTTTAGTATTAGTAGGATTATAAGTATTAGTATGACTAGTAGCAATAGTAGTTGTATGAGTAGTAGTGTAAGTATTGGTACTAAAATTAGTATATTAGTAATATTAGTAGTGATAGTAGTAGCAGTATTAGTAGTAGTATAAGTATTAATATGTATAATAGTAATAGTAATAGTATTATGAGTAGTTTTGTTAATGGCATGAGTATTTGTAATAATATTAGTATTGGTAGAAGTAAGAGTAGTAGTACGTGTAGTAGCATTAGTAGTATTGTGAGTAGTGTTATTAATTCTAGTACAATTTATAGTATTAGTAGTATTATGAGTAGTATTATATGTAGTAGTATTATTGCTACTGTGAGTATTAGTGTGAGTAATAGTATGAGTAGTAGTATTAGTAATAGTTCTAGTAATAGCATTAGTAGTAGTATGAGTATTAATAAAAGTAATGTTATTAGTTGTATTATTAGTAGTGGTAGTAGTATTGGAAGTAGAATTAGTAGTCGTATGCGTAGTAGTATTGTGGTGTGAACTACTTATATTGACATAAGTAGTATATAACGTGCGTTAAAAGGATGTAATGTCTGGCAGCAGAAAATGGAGAAGATCAAGAAAAGAAGAGCAAGAACGCAATGGAATTTGTAAGAAATCGCATGAACAATGAAATGAGAGACAATGGATTAGTGTTTGCAACTTGAACAGTACAGTTTGATATGATGCATTGATAATTTGCAAATTGACGATTGACTTTATGGTATTCAGATTTTGTTGAGATAGTCTGTAATTTTCGTCCTAAATACATTCGATTGTCCCCACCTGTGTTCTTGTTCACTACATTTGGTGTCGCTGCCTCCACTAAGGATGAAGATTCCATGGCTCAAGGAATTTGAGGAAGGAGATGTGCTGAGCTTCCTGAAGACGTTTGAGGCCGCGGCAGAGCTGGTGGGAGTGATGGAGCCGAAAGCGAAGTTGGTGGTGTTGGGGACGTTGTTGAGAGGCAGGGCGAAGGCTGTATATGACAGCTTGGACGGTGCTGGTGGGAAGACGAAATGGGAGACAGTTACGGAGCGTTTGGCGGCAGAGTTCGACAGCCCAGTGGACAGAGAGGAGGCGCTGCAGAAGTTCCGGTTGGCGAGGTTGCCGGTTGATGGTGACCCACTGGTGCTGGCGGTGGAGCTTACTAGATTGTTACGCCGTGCGCTGCCGAATCTGGATGAGGAGTCGGAGGCACAGTTGTTAGCGTCACAGTTTATCGAGAGTGTGCCTGCCACCATCTCCCAACAGCTGAAACTGGTGAACGCAGCGCAACCAATGGATATCAGTGAACTGGCGAAGGTGACTCGTCAGCTGATGACGCGTACAGTGGCTCCGGTCGGGTGCGGAAAGCAGGAGATAAGTAATGTAGAGAAGAAGATTGAGGAGCTGGAGCGTGAGATTGCAGCAATACGAGTGAACCATAAAAAGAACGATAAATGTTACGCTTGTGGAGGAACAGGACATTGGAAGATAAACTGTCCAACAAGACGAAGACGCAGATATTTTAGACGTTATAACGAGTGTTCTTTCTATCCTAGGAATCTGGGTTGTTGCGTTAGTAGACAGAGGGGCAGTGTATACGAGAGTGAACATAAATGAACGAGATTTAGTTTGTCTGATCGATACAGGTGCAGCAGTCTCGTTAATAGGCAAAGAGCAATGTAGGAGACTCAAGCCGTGTACATTAGCTGTCCACACTATAGGAGGCCATATGTTAGAAGTGTTTGGCGTATCTAACAGTATCGTAAAAGTGGGTGATGCCAAGATAAATTTCCCGTTTGTGGTAACCACAAGCTTATCGAGACCGATATTAGGAGCAGATTTCCTAAGAGAAGTAAAAGCGATAGTTGACTTAAGAAACGGTAAGGTGGTCACAAAGTATGGTTCATTGCCAATACACGAAAGTAGTGAAGTGGCTGAAATAAGAGTGGCAACGGATGTCTCGTCAAAGAAACCAAACATTAACGAGTTATGCAAAAAGTATGCGAAACTGTTCACTGGAGATGGAGAGCCGTATGGATTTTGTGACAAAGTAAAGCACGAAATCCCGATAAAGAGCGATCGAGTAAATATATTTGCAACACGTCGTGTTCCGGTGCATTTAGAGGCGGAGATAACTCGCCAGATCCAGGAAATGTTGAAAGAAGGTATAATTGATGAAGCGGACAGCCCATATAGCTCACCGGTACTCTTAGTAAAGAAATCAAATGGTAAGTATAGATTTTGTGTCGACTTCAGAGAATTGAATAATATAACAGACCTGAAACCTTGTGCAATGCCAACAGTAGTGGAAACATTAGATCGGTTACAGAATGCCACGGTGTTTACAGTGCTGGATTTACGGTCAGGATATTGGCAACTACCTATAAAACAGAGCGATCGAAGCAAGACAGCGTTTACGGTACGTGATAAACAGTACCAATTTAAACGAATGCCGTTCGGGTTGGCAGGTGCGCCGTTCACATTCAGAAGACTAATGACAATACTGCTCAAGAATCTAGATAATGTCGAGGTATATGGCGACGATGTGGTTGTGTACAGTCAGACAGAAACAGATCACGTCAAGCATGTGAAAGCGGTCTTAAAGCGAATTGACGAATTCGGACTTCGGATTAATAAGGACAAGTCGCAGATAGCGAAAAGTAGCATCACGTTGTTGGGACATAAAGTGGGAAATGGAGAAATAAAACCATTACCGGAAAAAATTCTTACCATAAAAAATATTGCAGTACCTAATTCGAAAAGGAAATTGAGACAGTTCCTGGGAAGAGCGGCATTCTACAGTCGGTTTGTCAAGAATTTCAACGAAATAGCAGCACCCTTATATAAGTTATTGAGCAACACCAAGTTTACGTGGACTGAGACTGCCGAACAAACGTTCAACCGAATCAAAAACATGCTAGACGATCGTCAGATGACGCTCAGACTGCCTGAACCGGGAAAACTGTTCACAGTGACCACAGACGCGAGTGATCATGGTATAGGTGCTGTGTTGAGTCAGGCTGATAGAGTGGTGGAATACGCGAGTCGCGTCCTCACACCCGCTGAACAGAAGTATTCAACCATCGAAAAGGAGTGTTTAGCAATCGTGTGGGCAGTAGAAAAATGGAGACCGTACCTTTTAGGTAGACGGTTTCACATTGAGACCGACCATAAACCCCTGCAGTGGTTGAAAACAGCAAGAGACATCCGAGGGAAGTTGGCCCGATGGATGATACGTCTGCAAGAATATGACTTCAGTATCGGCCATGTTCCAGGAAAAGAAAACGTGATGGCGGATTACTTGTCGAGACCAGACATGGAAGCCGACCTGCCATTAACAGCATACGCGGTGAACAGTTTAGAGGGAGACCCATTAGAACTCGTCCAGCAGCAGAAAGCTGACCTTAATCTTCGAGAGGTAATCAGAGTGATAAAAGAGGGAGCAGACGTAGACAAACGAACAACGGACAAGGAGGTAATAACTCTGCTTCGGCAAAAGGAACGACTGAGAGTGAACTCATATGGAGTCCTGACCTGGCAGGACGATGACGAGAATTGGGTAGCGGTGATCCCGAAAGGCTGGCGGCGTAAAGTGATACACGAATGTCACCAGGTAGCGCATACAGGAATCGCAAGAACGACGGATTTACTACGACAGAGTGCATACTGGCCTGGCATGAGAGACGATGTGGCTGAATACGTGTTAACTTGCCAGCAGTGTCAGCTAATGAAAAGCGACCGATACACACAACCGCCATTACAGTCAATCCCAGTAACCGCAGTCGGTGATCTATGGTCGGTGGATGTGATGGGACCGTTTCCACAGACGGCGAACGGTAACCAGTACCTGCTAGTAATGACGGAACATGCTACACGTTGGGTAGATGCTGTACCCATTGCAGACCAACGGGCAAGGACAGTGACCGAAGTGGTAATCCGGCATATTGTAGCATGTCACGGAATACCGAAGATGATATTAACTGACCAGGGTCCCTGTTTTGAAAGTGACGAGTTTAAAGCCCGTTTAAAGCAGTTTGGAATCAAGCGAATACGAACCACACCGTATCATCCTCAGACAAACGGGCTTACAGAGAGAAACAACCGGACGTTAAAGGAATGGTTAGCATCTAAAGGAGGAAATTGGGAGAAAGAATTACCATTGATTTTGCTGGTGCATCGTTCCTCTACACAAGGAACAACCAAGAAGTCACCTTTCTTACTCATGTATGGCAGACAGCCACGACTTCCAATGCATAATAAGACTTGGCCACAACAACAGAAATGGACGACAACAAGGTTAAGAAAAGAGAGGAGGGAGGCAATAAGGAACGTGGAAAAGAAACAGATATCAGACATAAAGAAGGCGGAACAACAAAGAAGAACGTGGAAACCCTTTGCAGTGGGGGACCTAGTAAAGTGTAGAGAACGAAAAGGTAACATAGCAGGGGGAGCAGGGTCGGGGAAGCTGATCCCAAACTGGGAAGGACCGTATGTTGTCACGGAGAGACGTGGCTCAGTCTACACGATCCGGAGAGAAGACAAGCAGAAGCGAGTAAACGCTAGTCAACTGCAGAGATGGTTTCAATACCAGCATGGTCGTGAGTCACGAAAAGCACCAAAGAAGACACCGGTACGGAGATCAGAAAGACTACGACAGCAACTTATTAAAAGGGGGGACGAGTGTGGTGTGAACTACTTATATTGACATAAGTAGTATATAACGTGCGTTAAAAGGATGTAATGTCTGGCAGCAGAAAATGGAGAAGATCAAGAAAAGAAGAGCAAGAACGCAATGGAATTTGTAAGAAATCGCATGAACAATGAAATGAGAGACAATGGATTAGTGTTTGCAACTTGAACAGTACAGTTTGATATGATGCATTGATAATTTGCAAATTGACGATTGACTTTATGGTATTCAGATTTTGTTGAGATAGTCTGTAATTTTCGTCCTAAATACATTCGATTGTCCCCACCTGTGTTCTTGTTCACTACAGTATGAGTAGTAGTATTAGTAGTAGTACGAGTATTAGTATATGAAGTGGAATTAATAGAAGTATTAGTTATAGTATTATTAGTAGTATTAGTAATAGTATCAGTAATATTATGAATAATAGAATTAGTATTACTATTAGTAGTATTAGGATTTGTAGTAATATTATTAGTATTATTACTAGTAATAGTAGTATTATGATTAGTATTATTAGTAGTAGAATGAGTATTAGTTATAGAAATAGTAATAGTATTTGTATTATTGGTAGTTTTATTACTAGTATTAGTTGTACTATGAGTAGTAGTATGAGTATTAGCATTAATAGTGCTATTAGTACTATTATTGGTAGTAGCACTCGTAGTAGTATTAGTAGTAGCATTAGTAGTAGTATTATTTGTAGTATTATTAGTTGAGTTAGTAGTATTATTAAAAGTAGTACTATTAGTAGTTTAGTATTAGTATTAGTGCTAGTGTGAGTAGTAGAATGAGTAGTAGTATGGGTAGTGCTTTTAATAATAGTATTAGTTTAGTGTTTGTAGTATTATTCGTCGTAGAATTAGTAACAGTATTAGTAGTGGTATTAATAATTGTGTGGGTAGTAGTATTTTTAGTAGTACTAGTAGTAGTAATAGTAGTAGTATGATTAGTAGTATTAGCAGTAATACTAGTAATACTATAAGTTGTAGTATGAGTAGTATTATGAGTAGTATTGTTATCAGTATTATAAGTAGCAGTATGAGTAGTAGGACGAGTAATATTATTAGAAGTATCATTGTTAATATGAATCGTATTAATAGTAGTTGTATTATTAGTTGTACGAGTAGTAGTATGTGTAGTATTATTAGCAGTAGTATTAGAAATAGTACGGGTAGTAGCATGAGTAGTAGTATGAGTAGTATTATTGATAGTAGTATTAATAGTAGTGTGAATAGTAGTATGAGAACTAATATCATTAAAAATATGAGTAGTAGTGTATGAGTAGTTGTATGATTACTAGTACGAGTAGTAGTGTGAGTATTAGTATTATTATTAGTAATAAAATTCGTTTTAATGGTACTATTAGTAGTAGTTGTATATTTCTCAAAGCAACTGTCAACCAACACAAAGATCAGGATTTTCAATACAAATGTCAAGACAGTTCTACTGTATGGCGCGGAAACCTGCAGAACTACGAAAGCCATCATCCAGAAGATACAGGTGTTTATTAACAGTTGTCTACGCAAAATACTTCAGATCCGTTGGCCAGACACTATTAGCAACAACGTACTGTTGGAGAGAACAAACCAGATCCCAGCGGAGGAAGAAATCAGGAAGAAGCGCTGGAAGTGGATAGGACACACATTGAGGAAAGCCCACAACTGCGTCACAAGACAATCCCGCACATGGAATCCACAAGGCCAAAGGAAAAGAGAAAGACCAAAGAACACATTACGCCGAGAAATGGAAATATACATGAAAAAGATGAAAAAGAATTGGATGGAATTAGAAAAAGAGGCTCAGGACAGAGTGGGTTGCAGAATGCTGGTCGGCGGCCTATGCTCCATTGGGAGTAACAGGCGTTATGTAATGTAATGTAATTGGTAGTAGTATTAGTAATAGTATTAGTATTACTATACATAGTAGAACTGGTTGTAGTATTGGTAGTAATATTAGTAGTAGTATGAGTGTTAGAATTAGTAGTACTATTAGTAGTAGTATTTGTTGTGGTATAAGTATTATTGAGAGTAGTAG